GTTTCAGCCAAGGGAGAATGATGAGTTTGGAAAATCTCCAGGACGAGTCATTCGCCAGTCACACATTTCCACCACTTGATAACCAAACTCTCTGACATCAGAGTTGATGGTATTCTCTCAACCGTTTTAGGGGTAATTTTTATCTGTGAGTGGTCTGCCGTGGAGCTCCTTCTCCTTAGGCACGTTAGAGAGAACTGGAAGAGTTGAGGCTTCTCAAGCTTTAAAGGGAAGACGAATCACCTAGGGGAGTGTTAAAGGGGCCTGGGGTGGAGCCTGAGGCTTTACCTTTTGAACAAGCTCCCAGGTGAAGCTGGGAGCACTCTAAGCAGCAAGGAGCTAAAGGATGCAGGCCTGGGAGGAGGTCTGTTTCCATGGCTGACCATTGGTTTTCTCTTTCTTCTAGCAGGAGCAGCCTGACTTGACTTTGGAGGAAATATTTTCTCTCCACGTTTAGTTTATGTATTGATAGTTCAGATGAGACCCTTTCTCTCTTGAGTCTCCACTTACCCCAATCACCTGTGATAGAGTTATGTCTGTGACCTCCCCTTGCCCTTTAGGACAAGCGAGCAGGTGACCTAAGTAATGCAATGATGTTCACACCCTGGGTTTGGCTAGTGCTGCTGGGAAAGACGACCCCACTCCAGTACTCTTGCCTGGAAAAGACGGAGGAGCCTGGTAGGCTGCAGTCCATGGGGTCGCTAAGAGTCGGACACGACTGAGCGACTTCACTTTCACTTTTCACTTTCATGCATTGGAGAAGGAAATGGCAACCCACTCCAGTGTTCTTGCCTGGAGAATCCCAGGGACGGGGGAGCCTGGTGGGCTGCCATCTATGGGATCACACAGAGTCGGACACGATTGAAGTGACTTAGCAGCAGCAGCAGCTTGGAAAGAGGCTTTCTTTGGGAGGGTATGAGACCTGAGGCTTCCAGTGCTCATTATGAGAAGGGGATCTGTAGGAGGATGAAGCCAACATAGAGGAAGGAGAACTAACCTTTGGAAGAATTCTGATGACATCTTTTGAGACCCTCGGTCCAGAGTTAAAGAAAAACTTCTTAATGACATTTTTTTGAGTGACTGGATACATTCTCACTTGAGGCAGATACTCCTGCCTTGATGGAGACTTGACTCAATCAAGTAGCCTTTATGCTTAGGCCAATTTGAGCTTGTCACTTGCAACAGATAGCATCCTGCTAATACAGTGGTGATAGGGCCTGACACAGCCAGCATTCAGCAGATAACTGAAGCCTCCTCTTCATAATTTTTCTTTGGTTGGATTGAGCAATATGCATTTATTATGTTTTATGTTTTTTTCCAGGAAAGAAGAAACAATCTGAAACTATCGGATAGGTGACAAGCAATTTTATTTTGCAAAACAATCACTATACAGCAACAAATACATTTGCAAATTTTGATTGAAAAACATGAACTAACTACAACCAGCCATTGAAGAAATGCCTTTCTATGGTAACAGGCTCTAGAATTATCAGAAGAAAGAAACCCCCCCACAGATTTGTAGCGGCATGTTGGAACCTTGGAATCCCAGCATACAGAGTATACTTTTTGTTGATTTTTTTCTTTTTGCTAAAGTTGAAGTATCATGATTGACATTTTCTGAGTTTAAAAATAAGTTTTTTTTCCTGCAGAGGGACTTGGCCTCAACCTACATACCCAGGCTAAAAACCCTAGGTGTAAAAAAACAAACATCAATACTGATTTAACATATGAATCTTTGAAGGAATGCCTAGAATTTGCCTTTTCAAGCTATGAATCTATCTTTTTTAGCTACTTAGACCATGGATAGTTTGTTTTCCTCCTCTTCATAGTGTAAAAAATAGGGAGAAAATGCTATAATTGCAGCTATGTCAAAATCAACCACATTGAAGAGATGATTTCTTTAATAATAGTGACTTGATCTCTTATTTTGCCTGATGATCCCATTTCCTGCTCTAAAACTATGTGAGTGTGTGGAGAAGGCCAGCTACTCTCAGTACTTTCTTCCATTTAACCAAGTTCTCACTTCAGCCTTCTTCAGCTATACCGAGTTGGTGATCCACAGGTGTCTTGCTTCTGGGTGGGATTTCTGCCCATCACCCTGCTGGAACTCAGCAGGAGAATCCAGAGAGAGTTGGTTCCTAAATGAACATGGCCTTTGAAACTCATCATGAACTCGGATCTCTCCTGCATCATTGAAAGGTACCCAATTATTGGTTGCAGGTGACCCAGAGAGACTGAGTGGGCCTTTTAACTCTTCACAGCTCTGGATTACTTATGTTTCCTTAAACAGGTTCTCCAAGGCAAAAGCCAGAGAGAAACTGGCATTAATTGATCTAGAATTGAGACTATGAAGCCTTAATTTCTAGATCAGCGTATGGATGTCCCCACAAGAGTGGTGTTCAAAAAGCTTAATTTGTGTCGTTAATCTTGAGAGTAAAGGTAAGATGGGTTCCACCCCTTATCCCCAAAAGAAGACATTTAGCCTGTATTTCTTTCTTTTACTGCTACCAATTTTCAATTTCATTTTATAGAATTATGAATTTCCATACAAAGTGAGGGTATTTAGTCATTATAATTTTGCTGTGATTTGAAGCAAACATTTGTTTTAATGCCAAATCTAATCACTGGGTACCTTATATAATCTTTATTTTAGACATGTATTTGTAAAAAACAATTTTAATATGTAGAACATGGTTACTTAGTGTTTATAAAAATTTTAAACCAAGTTGAAAAAAAATACATGTTTCACAGGTTAAAATTCTTCTAACCAGCTGTTAACTTTTTTCTAGAGCTTTAATCACTATCTAACACTACTTAACACATAAGAAAATACCATTAAGTCTCCACACAGCTATTCTTTCTTTTCCTATTTCCTGGTGCATTTCAAGGGAAGCTGATGAATAAAATGCCCAGATTGGTCAAATCAAACCTCACAGCAATAATTAGGCAGAAAATAGACACACCCATAGTCCTAATCAGTTCTTTCTAAATCTTTGACTATCCTAAATAACTGATCTATAGTTTCAGAAATGTTTGCCTATGTAAAATCTCTTAGTTGAGAGTGAATGGTGCACTTTTGCTCACAGAGTTTCTTTCATGGAAGTCATGTTGGCTGTAACTTCCAATGGGTCACAACATGCACCCGTGTCTCTCTGTCTTTCCATCCTTTAGCTTCTTTCTCAGACGCTACTATACTAGCTTACTGCCTTAGTCCATGTTCATCATTTCCTCCTTTATGCTCGAGAATTGATTTGACTCAAAGGGATCAAACCCTATTGAAACATTTGCCTTTAACTTTTCAGATCCAGCCTACCAGCCCTGAGCAAGAAAAAGAACAGATAAAATACTAAAAAGCATCCATCCATCCTAGTAATCCATTGCCCTACTCAGACTAATAATGACTATTTCATTGCTTCTTCATAAATTTAAGAGGAATGATTCTTAAAGAAGAATTAGTTGATTTGTGATGTCTAGACTGTACATAACATCAGAACCGTATTAGCTACTAATAAATAATAGTAATACAGTATTCCTTTATAGAGTGAAATGTTGGAGTTATAAAAAAACTGATTTAGATATCTGCATCTCCAATATTTTGTAGCTTCTCAAAATACTGTACTTTCCCTTTCTGATCAAGGGATCTTACTTGGGGTATGGAGGCCAAACATTTTCTATCAGATAACTGAATAAACAGGTACTGCTTGGAAGAATGGAATATCATGTTCCAAACTCCCACTGTTAGTTTCAACTTTAGCAAATGGAAAAAAAAGGAAAATAAATCTTAATAAGTCTATTCCATGAATGATTATAGGAGTAAACCCCAAAATATTCTGTGATTCAAAATAAGACAAACCCATAATCTTAAACCAACAATCTGTAAACCCCTTTTATGTAACTAGACCCACCCCACAAACTCCATGTTGGTGAAAGCAAAGAAAAATAAATTTTTTCTAGCATCACGGGAGAAACTTTAATGGGAGAAACTTGTATCTGGCACTAAAACAGGGTTACAGCTTTGAGTTGTTACAGAAAGCAACTTCATGCTAAAACTTTTTGTCTTTTTTAACTTTTTTTTTTTTTAAATAGGAAGAGAACCCTGCTAACATCTACTTTCACATACCTAAAATTGCAACACCAAAGGGTGCAGGAGACACAGATACTGTGAATAAGGAAGTATAATATTCAAGTATGAGGAAGTATCACAAATGGCCACAGAGAAATATATATATATTTATATCTATAATACTGTATCAAACAGATGGAAAGGGGTGTGAAACCGGTAGTGTGGACACAAATCTAGCTGATCAACTGACATCCTAATCAGACACAAGTCCATCCTAATGAAAGTGCTTCATTCCTAAGAGATGCACTTTACGTCACTTCCTCAACCACAGCTCAAATGCTTTGAAACTATTTTTTAATTAATTAAATAATTTATTGGATTGACTTATACTCTGATATAATTATCCAGGTCCCAAACGTTAATAACTTAATTGAATCTTTCTTCCCATTTATACAAAATAACGCTTTAAAAAAAACATTTCTTACATGCTCTTCCCTTCCTGCAATGACTCCTTGATTTAATTTAACCTGTAATAAGTTACAAGGGGCAACTTTTTAATCTTTTCACCCAGCAACAGAATAGTGAAATGAGCAGCTTGGATTTTAACAAGGCCTTTCAGAATGTAGTAGATAGCCTTCAGGCACATGAAAGGTAGAAATGCAATTTTTAAAATAATGATACTCCATGCAAAACAGCAGAGCGAAAAAAAAACTGTCCAATTGTACTCATGTAAAGCCAGTATCTTCCTGTTGCAAATGGAAATCAAGTCAATTTCTGCATATACTATTTTTTTTTTATAAAATTGTAACAATTACTACAGTTTGGGAATGAGATTATTTATTTTATGGTTTGTAAAGAATGAATATAACACCTGCTCAGAGCCCACTCCTGCCAGAGCTCATGCCTAAATAGTATGACGTCAATACTAAATGAGAGATATTCACAAGCCCTGTTTAGCGAGTGCGGCAGTGACATCCTCGGCCAGGGTGGCAAGCTGGGGGGATTCGAGCAGGTTGATGCTTCCAGAAGAGGAGACGTTGCTGAGTCGTCGGGGGGAAGCCACACTGGATCTGCCTGGGGATTGCGTAATGATCTCAGCCCCATGGTCCACACGGGCCTTAGCATGCTCTCTGAAGTTCAACTTTTGGCTGTCAATCTGTTTAAGACAAGCATCAGTCCTCGTCAACACAAACATCTTAAACTGTCCCCTAGCCTTTCTCTGTATCCCAGAGCTGATGTTCATGTCACTTCTATTCAGCTCTGCCATCCCTACTTCCAGGGTGTCCAGGTCTTTAATCTGGGACCCACTTTGATGAAGAGTATTTCAAAAGGATTTTTTAAAAAGGCAAGATCGGCTCACAATCTTATGTCTTACCTTGACATTACCACCTCCGGGAACGTGGTGAGCATTGTCTAGAGAACCGACTTTAGCTTGGGCCTTTTCTTTGAAATCTAGCTTCACACTTTCAATTTTCACACGCCCACCACCTATGGAGGAGATGAGAAAGGCTTTTAAATGCCTTGCTAACGTTAAATCTTCTATTTTGGTGACTAGTAACCCAAAATGACTATAGCAGGTAGACCATGGCAAATCATAAACTTAATGAACTCTACTAACCCTCTGACCATAGACGGGAAAGGAATCTTTTAGAATTTCTAATCTATACCATTTTCCCCATACCATCTAAGTAAGGTGTTGTTCAGTCACTCAGTAGTGTCCGACTCTTTGTGACCCCACGGAGCCCAGCACGCCAGGCTTCTCTGTCCATCACCAACTCCCGGAGCCTGCTCCAACTCATGTCCATTGAGTCGGTGATGCTATCCAACCATCTCATCCTCTGTCACCCCCTTCTCCTGCAGTCTTTCTCAGCATCAGGGTCTTTTCTAATGAGTCAGTTCTTCACATCAGGTGGCCAAAGTATTGGAGCTTCAGCTTCAGCATCAGTCATTTCAATGAATATTCAGGATTGATTTTCTTTAGGATTGATTGGTTTGATCTCCTTGCAGTGACTCTCAAGAGTCTTCTCCAACTCCACAGTTCAACAGCATCAATTCTTCAGTGCTCAGCCTTCTTTATGGTCCAACTTGCACATTCATACATCCATCTAAGGCAGTGACATCCTTTTTGTATCATTCCCTGGTTGCTTTACATATTAATTCTTTTCTCTACTCATGTCTAACCTAAAATATCAGAGGTATTTTTCTTATCTGTGTAATAAAAACTAAAAAGAACACAATGAAAGTACCATATGTATCCTTTCTCAAACTTGGAGCATTTTGTCTCTTATTCTTAAGGGAGCAAATTGCAAGGAAGCACATCTCTATTTTTCTTCATGGTAGTAGGTCACTTGTTCAAAGAACTAATAGGCTAGCAATTGTGTACATAAGGGTGATATTGCCACTTGTAAATTTTTAGCATTGATACCTTGACTGATGAAACTGAGTGAGGGGCTAAGGTGCTTAAAAGCTTCCATTTTAGTTAGTAGATGGGAGTGATAGGAAGGGAATCTTAGAGATCCCATTCTTGTCCAGATTCTATAGGACTAATTTGACACTGATCTGATAATACTGAGACGGAGTTCTGACCATGACATTTTCTTAAATGCTAATTAGTTTGAAAATCGAGGATCTGCTGATAGATGAGAGTGCCATGAGCCACCCTTCTATGGCACCTCCATTTCTGCACACCTTTTCAGGCTTGTGAATGCAAGCAGTTCTACATTGAGTAGGTATCTGTTGTTCTTTAGCTTATTCTTGAACCTGTCTGCTGATGTCTTTGATCTGGGAAGAATCTGGATTAGATGCCTTTACCTGTCTCCACCTAAGAGACTAGCTTTCACTTTCATTACAATTTGGTTTTGGCTATATGCATTTTTTTTTTTTTCCATAAGGCCAGTAGTAAGGCATGTGATCCTCTATTATTATTGCATCTCGCTTGGGATTTTGATTTGGAAAAAATATCTGAGGGGCTCTATGGAAACATGGAAAAGACTTTTCAATTTTGGACTCTTGATACTTATTTACCTCCGTAGATGAAAGAGAAAGGGTTGTTAAAACTTCACAGGTCTCTTATTCCTGAGGTGTTTTTCTCATGTGATACCTAGACATTTGTATTAACACCCAATTGCCTGGCCAGGGCCCCCTTGAAATTGTATGATGTTACTGGATTACATTTTTAAAAATTTATATTTATTTATTTGGCTTTGTTGGGTCTTAGTGGCAGCATGTGGGATCAAGTTCCCTGACCAGGGATCAAGTTTGGGCCCCCTGCACTGGGAGCAGCCTGGACACTTAACCAATGGACCACCAGGGAAGTCCCTGGTTTACATTTTGAAGTTCATTCATTCTCCTTCTGAAGACTTGGGATGTGTATGATGTTATTTAACTCATTCCTATAGGAGACATGAAGCTGTCCTTCCCTCAAAAGATGCATTATTGCACAGGTGTTATTCTACCAACATTTTACTTGGCCCCATGGGTCTCACCTGTTAGTTGTTACAGGATTACTGTGATTCATAAAACACAGTTATATTGGTTAGAGGCTAGAGGATACTGAATTTTCAACTACAGGAGATCAACTTTCTTGGGATCTTACTTTTACATTTTTCATAGCCTCTGATAGAAACTGTCTTTTCAAGTTTTATGATTATATATTGTGTCAATATAACCCTATTAAAAATTTTGTTAGACTATATTTTGAGAGAGAGGGGAAAAACAATGTAATATTGACCCAAACTATATTCAGAAAAGGAAACTTGAGAAGTCTATTTTTGTTAAAGTCTTACTGAAGTGAAGTGAAAGTTGCTCAGTTGTGTCCAACTCTACATGGTCCCTGGAATTCTCCAGGCCAGAATACTGGAGTGGGTAGCTAGGTAATTTTATATAACTGTTAGAGAAGCTCATTTGAAATCAGAGATCTCTGCCTTTGGTTCTGAAGAATTCTGGCCCCATTAGGAGCAGTAAATGCCGAGGATTATAATCCCCATCAAGCTAAATTCTGGCCCCATTAGGAGCAGTAAATGCCAAGGATTATAACCCTTATCAAGCTTCATATGTCTCAAAGTGAAGTCAAAAGACTAGCTATTTCAATTTGTGCCTCCAGGTGATGAATTGTTTCTTCCTTATTTCCTTCGGAGACATTCCACAATCCAAAGTAATTTTGTGAAAAGCTTGCTACTGTCAAAGATCACTGTGTTAACACATCTTTATTAACTTGGTCATCTGATTCACTTATTATGAAGTAAGAGTGAGAAATAGGTGGGAGTCCATGACAATAGCCTTTATGACCCATAAAACATACACATAATATTTTCTTGTATATAGAAGATTTTTCTGTGCATCAAGACTTTAGGTGAATTGAACTAAATGTATACTTATCATCTGGAATTACAGAGTCCAATATTTTCTTTTGTATTCTGGAAGAAGTGTACCCAAATACTTCCATCATACTGTTTACACAGGACAAAATCAGCTAAATGTTTGTAGATATAAGGCATAGATGGGGGGCTGTGAAGATACCCATTTGGGAACATGTCCCTGCTATCTCATGAATGATAGCTAGTTCCAGATAATAGTTCTGAAATCAGTAATGGAGATTACTTATATGTAGTTTCTATCTCCTTGACTTGCTTTATTAACACCCTTTGCCAACGTGAAGCCCAATTTCTAGACATATTTCTAATACTTATCCATTTTTTAAACCTTTTGTTTTTCAACTAAAAAAATTCTTCTCAATAATCTTCTGGTCAGAAATCTCACTGGGGTCAGTTGTTCTTTTACCTTGTTCTGATAACACTTGAGATTATGATTCATGGGAATAAGATATTACCTGGTTTAATTAAGATGCCAAGAATAGATGGTTAAAATCAATGTTTTTGTCCTTCAATAGTATATATAAGTTGTGTCAAATAGTCTCAAGAAAATTTACAAATTTGACAATTGTCCATTATTTACATATGCATAGAGGTGGAATTTAGCAAAAACATATAGTATATGATATGTAGAAAAATGACTCATAATACATTAAATTCACAAATTAAATAGGGAAAAATCACTAGCACATATGAATATAAACTCTACCTTAGGGCACAAGATTTATGAGATATGAGATATCTCATAATATATCATAAAATATCATAATATACCATACTGTATATTATGATATCCTAAGATATCATAATAATGAGATATGAGATATCTCATAATAATGAGATATTATGAGATTCATGGTTTTTCCAGTAGTCATGTATGGATGGATGTGAGAGTTGGACTATAAAAGCTGAGTGCTGAAGAATTGATGCTTTTGAACTGTGGTGTTGGAGAAGACTCTTGAGAGTCCCTTGGACTGCAAGGAGATCAAACCAATTAATCCTAAAGGAAATCAGTCCTGAACATTCATTGGAAGGACTGATACTGAAGCTGAAGCTCCAATACTTTGGCCACCTGATGCAAAGAACTGACTCACTGGAAAAGACCCTGATGCTGGGATTGAAGGCAGGAGGAGAAGCGGATGACAGAGGATGAGATGGTTGGATGGCATCACCGACTTCATGGGCACGAGTTTGAGCAGGCTCCAGGAGTTGGTGATGGACAGGGAAGCCTGGTGTGCTACAGTCCATGGACTTGCAAAAAGTTGGACACGACTGAGCAACTGAACTGAACTGAACTTATGAGATATTTCAGAAAAACAAGCAGTCTGTGGTCAAATAAGTTGGGGAGACATTGCATTCTGAAGATTCACAATGCTTACTGACCTGGATCTGAGAAATTCAACAGAAAAATAAATTTCTTCAGTTTTGTTAAAAAGCACAATCCCCTTCCCGCCCCCCACTGCCCCGCCGCCCCACATAATGTAGAAAAACAATTTCTTGCAAAACCTTTGAAATGCTGCTTTCAGTCCATGAATTACGTAAGAATACATTGCCCAATGTTATTTTATAGACTATATATTTCAAAAGAGCTCCAATAACCATGTTGAGTACATACAGATAAATGCATCTCCTGTATCTTCTCATTTTTAACATGTCCTAGGATATTTGGCCTGTTTGTGGTAACTGAGTTTACTTGTCCATATGAAGATGCCTTAAAATTTCTAATTAAAGTTTCTATTAACACAAGCATGAAGTATCAGGATCTGGAAAGGTCCTTCCAATGAGATATCTCACAGCAACAAAAACTTTGCTTGTCAATTTTTTGAATTCAATCTAATACCTCTCAGACTACTAAAAATACTGATTTACCTGGCCTGTGGCGGATGTTCTTCAGAGAGCCACATTTGGATGTCACATGGCTTAGGTCTATCTTCTTGGTGACAATCTGTACCTGTGTGAAGGACAGAAAATAGGCTTAAAATAGTTTAGATGTAAATAAGCCCCCAAGCTCATATGTAATATCTAGAAACATATCCAAACTTACAACATACAACAACATATACACACACATGGGAAAACCCAATCTTCCATATGTCCTCCCATATGTTTGGTTGGAAAGAAAAACACAAGTGAAAGAAAATCCTAGAAGAGAAGATTTTATTAGTAGAAAACAGATCATGCCGCAAAGGGACAGAACTTCTGTATTAAGAAGGCAAGCTTTCCACTCAGAGAAAGAAGCCACACCATATTAAACCTTTCCATAAGCAAAGAGCCAAGTGAAGAGGGAAGTATTCTTTAGAAAGTGATTTTTACATGAAAGTGACCAAAACTGCTCATACAAACAAGAAGTCCAACTCTGCTTTAAGATACAAGAAGAAAGCTCTAAACATGCTTTTCTAAAACACTCTTGTCATATTTTGGCTAAATGCAATTTTTATTGCACACCAAATGATAAAAGGATAGCATTTTTTTTTCCTTCTGGGTTTTACTGAAATCAATTCATCTTCTAATATTTGAAAAGGTGCTTTCCAAGCATGGTTCCTGGTTCATTTACATCAGAAATACATGGGAATTATGTAATCTAACACTGGAAATGGGGCTAAGGAATCTTCCCCATTCAAATCAATCACATTTGAACAAGTGATTCTTCTCTAGGGGAAAGTTTCAGACTACTGGTTTGGAGGTTGGAAGCTTCTCTAATAACTTTAAAATCATCCTTTCCTTCATAGGTGTTTTGATCAGCAGCACCTATTGTAGAGGTCAGCTGGGTCAATCCTCTGATACTCTCAAAATTACCCATTAATTCCAGGACTAAGATTGCTTCCATGAGAGTAGCACATGGTGTGTACTTACAGTCAGGGCATCAGGGAGGAGGGGGGCCTGTCAGTGTAAATACCGAGCCTGAGGCTTAGCCCTGTGCCCTAGAAGGAGCCCAGCAAATCTGGCTGGGGTTCTCCCATGTGGCACAGATTCATGCTCAGTGGAGCTGCTTTGAACATCAGGCACTTGCTTGTCTATTTTTTCACTGCTTGACTCCATCTCTGCCCAACTGAGGAGCGAGAAACCAAGAGTTATTAGATAAGTGAGAATTCTGGATTTGACACTCAATAAATTACTTGAGTCACAGATGGATAGAATCCAAAGTCTAGGTGATTGGATCTGTAGTAGAGTCATGCTAGTCACCTTTTTTATTAATCTAATGTTAACAAAGAACCATGCCTACTTTAGCTTGAGTCTGCCTGTTTCAACTCTTCCTGAAATACTTTTGAGAAACATGAATTCATCTTTCTCTTCCTCTCAGAGGATATTATTTCCACCCAATTTAAGAGACAGGGATTAAAAAAAAAAAATCAAGACAAAGAGTATACTGGGACTTGAATCCTTTCACTTTGAATTACAGATGAGCCATGCTTCACCAGGTTTGTATTATTCCAAATGATATCCCAACTCTCATGAATAATGAAGCACAAAAGATCGACATTATACACTTTGGATACTTTCATACATCAGTCATTGCCTCAGGAGTAACTTAAATGGAGCTAGAAAAGTGTGTGCTCAGCTGACTTTTGCAAGGGAGCAGAGACAGCATGAGAAAATACCTTAAAGCCAAAGGCCAGCAAACAAATTGGCAGGTGAAATGGACTTTCCATCTCCCCGAAAACCATGGTGTCCCCATTTAAAAAGCGAGACATTCACCAGTGATCTCAGAGGGAAGGATGGAAAGCCCATCCCCCAAAATGCAAGGCTGACAAGCTCCCAAACCAGGGGGACTTGTGGAGCAGCAGCAAGAAGTGGGGAGTGTGCTGGGAGGTGTTGGAAAGGAGGTGGGAAAGGAGAAGGCGTGCCGGCTGTGCAGACGGCTCCACACAATCAGGACAGCTGCTGACGTAAGCTTCTACTTACATTTCCGCCCCCAGCAGAATGTTTGATGTTATCCTTGGAACCACATCTGGACTGAACCTTGCTAAAATCGATCTTCTTGTTTAAAATCCTAACCTAAAAGGAATTGGAAGTAACTTCACTGTGCATTTTCTTTCAAAATTCTGGGATAGGATATTGGGAACCAGGGAACCAGAAATGGGTTAGCACCAAAGAGGCTCCAAACTCCTTTCCACTTACATTTATCATTTATGAGAAAAAACTAACAATGAAACTGAAAAGCAGGTCTATCATGTAAACATGAAGTGTTTTTCTCCTGCAGCCCCCACCCCATCTCCAAGGGCCAGTGCTTGAGAGCCTCAGATATCCTGACTGTAGGCTGCTGTAATCTGGAAACAATATAGGAACAGAAAAATAAAACCTGAATTATCTGTGAGGAGGTCTCTGATATTGTGGGCAACATTGGGACTCAGGTCCCCTCCATGGAAGGTCCAATAGTTCAACCCTGGTTTCTGAAGGATGTGCCAGTGCTCTCCCCACCCCCCAACTTCTGGAGTGTTAGCCTGACTGTAAATCACCTGGTACACTTGAGTTGACTATGACTGGTCCATGTAGAACGATGAGGTTCACATTGGTCTGGCTGACCAATGGTTCTCACTCATCTGAGGGAAGAAGCTCTGGTTTTCCCAAGATCATCAACAAGGAGACTCTGGGCATCCTCTACTGAAAGGCTTCATGATTCCCTTGCAGGTTCAGCTCAGTAGCCTTCTGAAAGGCCACTCTCTGACACCTGCTCATAAATAGCCAATATCCCTGACTTTGGTGTGAAAGCATCCTTTCCATTTTTACAAGGGAGAAAACCAAGGACTGTTAACTAGCTGACCTGAACCAGGTCATGCACAGGTAGCCCAGGTCTAGATTGGGCCCAACAGATTGGAGGTTAGCTGTTTCATTTCTATTTTCAGGAAGTCAAGTGTTCCTCTTGAGGACAACAGCAAATCCAGATCTGGAAAGATATTACTCAGGTGTAAAGTAATGTGCAACGTAATAACTCTTGTAGCTTCTTCCATGTATCTTCTGAATTTTGAACATTTTGGAGAGCCCTCCAAAACAAGCAATGTAAGAATGAAAGGAAAGGTTTATTTTTGTTATTTTTTTGTTTATTTTGTTTGTTTTTATTATTTTGTTTGTTTTATTTCATTTTGACTACAAGTACCCCCCAATAGCTAGAGAGATATCATATTTCCAGTATTTATCCTCTTATACATAAAAAAAGAGCAAAATAAATTTACCCTAGATATACAGCTTTCTCCACGAATGGTATCACATCTCTTGGAATTTTCAAAAAAGAGTAGAAAATTCAAAAGGACACTGAATCTTGACTATTTTTAACTAGACAAAGCTTAAATTGCAGCATCTGCCTAACACTGACAAGATAGCTTGTTCCTTACAGGGAAGCATCATCGACAGCTCTCATTGTCAGCCGAAGGGAAGAGACTCTTGTCAAAATCTGAATTCAAAAGATAGGATGATGTGACCACTATTTCGGGCATAATAAATATTCTAATTAAAAAAAAATGGCAATGTCACAAAGTCTGTATCTAACAAAAAGCACAGTTGTTCTAAGAGTTTCAAGTAAACTGCAGATGCAGATAAACAAGTCAATAAAGCCATTACATTTCAAACCTCACAGATAAAGTTATTCTTAGAAAGCAAATAATTGTTTTTTTTATAATAATACTTTAAATTATTCTGCATAAGGATCTATTTATTTTAGAAATGAAAAAGAATTCATCTAAGCCATTTTTCTAATCCTTGGGGATATACTGAGTCTCATATTTCATTTACAAGTTTTAATTTAGAGATCATAAGAGTACCAATCAAGTGACTCATTACCAAGTGATCAGAAGCCAAATGTTAAATCTGACTCACTTGTTGCAAAAATGGAAATTCCAAATTCGGTTGCATAAATTTGTTTGACTTTAATGTTTAATCAACTGTTTGACATTTTTTATTATTTTCCAAAGCAAATGATTCAAACCCAAAGAGGACATAATGCCAGCATTACTTAAAGATGATTCAAATTTTAAATCCTAAAACTTCAAGGCCAACTTCTGTTGCTTTTCTTCAGATTTTCAAGAGAATCATAGATTTTCTAGTAAAAAACCTAGCTGGCCTTTTTTGATGGTAGATTTTACTAACCCATGTTTGCTCACTTTGACATGCATTAATAGCACAGCCATTACATATTTCCATAATTGCAAAAACTTCATAGTATACTGCTTTTGTCTAAAATGAGGCAGAGTATGACATTCACCATTTTGTTTAATGGTTGAGTGGACAGAAATAAAACCACTCAGGGCTGTGAATGTTTGATGTTCAGTGAGATTACACTCTAGCTTGACAACTTGTACCTGAGCCATGTAACTCACATTTATGCCTTAGCACAACTACAAACTACTTCATGCCAAACATCTCTAGGATCATTGACAAATAACACCTTAGGGAGTTGATTCCACAAATACTGGCAGTCCTTAGAAACCATCCCACCCACAAAATTGAAAAACAGATGGCTGCTGTGAAGGGTAAAGCTTTATTTCAGATATATATGTATTTTTTAATCAGAGTGTTGAGTTTTAACTCTCTGTTCTCTATGGATAAATTGAAATGAAAACTGCTTTCTTTGGGAAGAAATTTTCATTGGACTTTTATTTTCCTAAAGCCCATGTCAAGGGAAAATTACTTTAATATCTTGGAGACTGCCTAAAAAAGTATAATGAACTGCTATTTTACAAATTAAATAATTTTTTATATTCATGATATAAAGGAAAAATAGTCAAATAATCATTATCCAACATTAACTCGAAACCACATTTTAATCTTTGTTAATTTTTTTCCATCAAAAATGTTACTTGCTCTATGAATGCAAAGAATATGAGAATCTTTCCTTCTGCATATTTCATAGCACAGTGAAATGTATTATTATATCAAGCAACTGGATCATCTTCCTAAAGCTCTGCCTTATTAAAAATTCTACCAAATTTCCTATTTCTTATAAAATGAGACAAAATATAAAACTTATAGCCAGGCAACTAAGGTTCGCAGCAATACTGATGCTTGAGTTATCTTTTAATACTTTACATTTTGTCCAAATTGTGCTACAGTTTATACCTTAAGGGCCTTGTTTATATTTTCAAGTTCACCCCCATGATGTCTTTATGTTATTATCTCTTGACAGAACGCCTTCACTCCAAGTTGAGTATGTAACAGATCATCTTTCAAGGTTCACTCAAACCAGTTCCTCAGTGTGGGGTTGGCAGAAAAGGATTTCATTCTTTTGGGCATATATTGGTGACTTATATGCAACCATCACTGATTTTTCTTTCATGTAAAGGTCTTAATAAGCATGAAGAGTTATAAAGAATAGATTAATGCAACTGAATATTTAATCAGAATTATTTTATTTTAACTTGGTTAGTTCTATCTATTCCTCCACTACTCTAGGAAAGAACAGAAGAGTTACTTTCTGGATATTCTTGATGTGATTCTAGTTGAATTTTATCATAAATGATTCAATTGAAATGATCTGCCACTGTACTCTCTCTGCATATAAGCTTAATTGCTCCTGTAGAGAAAGGAGCTTTTTTTCCTCCTCCAAATGGGGTTACTCTAAGAAAGAGCAGGAATACAAAATGTGGGATATGCCTACAGGCAGGAATAGGACTCTTACTAGAGATTAGCTGAAACATGAAACATGAAAAATGAAAGAAAATACAATCCCAATTTTAGTTTTGAATAAAACAGTTTATAAACCATAGTTAGTAATCGTGATGTCAACTTGGGTTCCTTGAGCAATGGGAATCTGATTTTTTTTTGACACTCTCTGCTGTTGCTTTTTAAAAATAAAATATCCACATGTCAACTCAAGATAGCAAGATATGGAAAGTAACTTGGTGTCTAAAAGTTGGATTCTGTTCTCAGTTCTTTACAGTCTGGTGCTGGGCCCTCAGGCATCCTCTAGGTATGAACCTCAATTACAAAATCATTTCTTTCTTTCCCCATCCAAGGTAGTCTTACACAGAATTGAGTAACATTCAATTGACTTCCCTTCAACTTTATAGGGCATTAAGCTTTTTCTTTGGGTTTGCCTCATTTCTTAGGAATGCTTATGAAGTTTTTCTTTATCCTTGCATAATAAAAACACTTTCTGCCTTTCTCAAAAGTATTTCCTATTCCATAACATTCAACTTTAATGAAACCATGTAGCCTCTATAGAGTCCATAGGCATCATATATTAAAATAAAAATATTATTATATCATATATATTCCTGAAGATTAAAAGCTCTCTGGATAGTGCTCTTCAAATATTCATCTGTTAACAACCTGGTGCTCTGGTCAAAATGCACACAGGTATATAAACATTATGGTCCATTCTGAATTTTAATTAACACTTACCTACATTGACCAATAACACCTTCAAAATGAAGTCTATCAAATATAAACAATAAGTATATTCCAATATACATTTAAACAGAAATAATAGTTTATGTCAAAACAAACAACTCCACAGAGCTCTAAGGAAAAGAACGTGGCAGAGGGTCCATTTAGGTGAGAGCTCAATTTTCCTGTGTAGGCTGTGTCACAAAGCACAGAAAGTAGAACCACATTGAGAAATCTTGGAGTGAATAGATAATGCTGAAAAATTTGGAAATAACTTTTTGGTGAACAGACATTGAGTTTAGCCATTAGACCCGCTGTTACACAGTTTAAGCGGTCTGTCCATGGACACTGGAAGGAAAGTTACAAACACAACAGTCATTGTGACTCAGGAAAATTAACATACAAAGAGGTTTATAAAGTTCATATGCCATAACTTCTTGACATTACATTTTTTCTTTAGTTTAAAACTTTAAGATAGTGTAAGGAATATTAGGCCACTTTTCAAGAGTCCGTTCAATTGTTTGAAAACAACCTGAGATTCAAGGCTGTTCCCATGTCCTTGTTTGGTTTGTAAATGAACAACAAACAAAAAGAGAGTCTACAGGTCTCAGCTTTGTAAACCCAAAGTAATAATCTTTCCATTGTTTTTAATAATTAATATTTATGAAGCCTAGCTTGAAAACTTTTCATTACCTTACAAAAGTACTTGAATTATAGTTATTAAAGTTCTATTGCATAAAGACAGAGCCCCTGATTTCAAGGAGCTTTCATTTTGAGATAATGATGACTTTGGTTGCAAAAAAAAAATTTCTTGTCAATATTATGTAATATATTTTGGTGAACAGCTTTTCTTCATGCTGGGTTGACTGACATTATTTTACAATTAGTGGGGTATTCTATTATACTTTTTAACTAGTACTTATTTGTAGCCCTAGGTGATGGAAAGAAATGGCTTGGAAAAAAATTTAAAATCAAATAAAGGCAGGACACCAGGGGAGGACAAGAAAAACAAACACGTCTGCTTAGATTGTACAGGCCACGTGTCATGTGTCATATAGTACACTGCAGAGTCTTTGTAAATGATTAAAGAATAAATACGCAAATGAGAAAAAGATCTAAATAAACTTATCTTTCTCTGTTTATAAAGTTTTTGATTCTGTAAATGTGCCTATGTATATTAATAGCACCTTAGTAGACCTTCACAAAATTGATCATAATAATTTCATATGATAAGAAAAAAATCCTGTTTCACCATAATTTATAGTTGCCGCCAGAATTAATTTCATTTTTCCCCTTGAATATAAAATTGAAGGCAACTAATTCAAGGTAGCACGTGAAAGGCCAAAAAAGTTTCAAGATATTGCCTACAATTTTATATAAAAAAATATAAAAAAGATTCCACTCTACATTTCATTTAATTCATTTTCTTCTTACTCTCTCTCATTGCTTCTATTTCAAAAACACTGCTTTTTCACTCATCTTCAGCTTGCCCTTTGTGGCACAAATATTTATGGAGTCTGTTAGAGTATATAAAGGGATTTTTTTTTTACTTTTATTTTTAATTGGAGGATAATTGCTTTATTACTTTATAATATCGTGATGGTTTCTCTAATACATCAACATCAATCAGCCATAAATATACACATGTCCCCTTTCTCTTAAACCTCCTGCTAAGTTGTCTCCCCTTTAGGATGTTACAGAGCATTGGATTTGGGTTGCCTGTGTCATACAGAAAATTTCTACTGGCTATTGACTTTACATGTGGTAATGTATCTGTTTCGATGGATCTGATCCATAGACAGAAAAAGTGTCATTCAGCTATTTAATTTTTTTTAATGTCACACATTTAGAGAAACTGGTTATTTTCCTATCTTTGTTCAAATCAAGCAGCCGAGTCCTTAAAAAGCTAACACTATTTTAAAATTTAGATTTGGATGACTGTAGATTAAGGAGCTATGTACAGTGAGACAGTTTCAAATTAATACACTTAATAAGATAGCTTTACCTATGCCTTGAGTTAAATTAACCAAGCTTACTATCTATAGTGAATTTGAGATTGCATATGTTCTTACCAGTAGACTGAATTTACATTTTAGCAAAAAGATGAACTTTATTGCTTTTTGCAACGCCCCTCACAGCTTCACCTAGCTTATTATCTATTCCATTAGGCATTGATCTGCCTCACTGAACTGAGCTCTGAGTTGAGCCTCTTTGCCAAAAGAAAACTGGACTTTAACAGAAGAGATAACAGCCATAAGCACACAATTTAATACATATGGAAGAGCAATAAACATTGAAATTGGGGCAAATAATAAAAGCTTCCCAACGTGGAAGGTTGTTGTTGAATTCCTAAGACACATATATCTTCTACTAGAGATTTCTTCTCTTTATATTTAGTGACTGCACAATCTTTAATACAAAAATAATAATGCTTTAAAAATTAAATTATTTATAGACAGTCAAACCACTCCAAATTTTATGACAATAGAGTCTGTGGAGATGGTCTGAATTATATGAATTAAGGTTATAACGACCTATTTACTCCCATCTTCACTAATAAGAACTGTGTGACTATTTTTCTCAGTAACTATAGATGACATATGTCTGCTACAAAACTGGGCTCCTATAGAAGGTATTGCTATTGTCCTATTCTCTTCAATGATTCTGGGTTGGTCACTGTCCATTCAAATATCCTAGAACATACAGTTTACTACTGGGGACAACATACTACTGGCTTCGATTTCCCCAGTTTATGGATTCTCAACCAGATATTAATAACAAAGGTCTTTGGCATATTATTACTATCTTGATAATTTCTAAGAAACTTTTACATAAAAAGTTTTCTTAGTTGTTTTATAAAGTTGAACCTTTAAAATCCAGTGAAAATCCCCAGTTTAACATGTACAGAAAAAGAAACTCTCCTCACCCTCTCTATGTGAGAAGACCATACACTAAAAGGAGGCTTTTAGGAGCATAGTGTTAAATGTTGAGTAAAATATGTTTCCTACAAAGACAGTTCAACTATAGTATATCCAAATTTTCTAATTCATTTTCCTCTCCAATTTAAATACGTTGACGCCATCTATCACAAAATAGTAGGCAAATATACTCCTTTCATCTATGTCTTATCGTGGTGAGGAAACACTTCCCATTTCTCCAACAAAAGTCACTTTATAATTCCACTATTGTAGAATTTTTCCAAGTCATCTGAAATTGCAATAGGATAATTTTGCATTAGTTTAACACTGGCCTCATGGAACAAAAGATTTTCTTCAATTGACATGGTGATTTTGAGGCTAATTTTATTCTTTCTTTAATTTTTTATGTTATATGTGTTTGCTAGTCCTTAATTACCACAATCTCCAGGGCAGCACTAGTTCACCTCAGAAGAATGTCTTTACATCAACTTTATGAATTAACAAAAATAGGAGAAAATTAAAATTAGACACAGAAATATTCACAGCAAGATATAAAGAAGTAAAAGAGAAAATAAATTTAAGTCTTCACATTTGGGGGTTGGTTTAACTTAATTATTCTAGCAAAGCTGAGGCCAAAACCACTTTTTGTCTTTCTACCTTTAAAAGTCCTTTGAATAAAATCTTTATTGTCAAATTATATCAATAAGCATTTACTTTTTATTCAATTTTCTTTTTAGTTTCAATAAAATATCTTTGAGATAATTAACTCCTTTATGATTCTAAGAAGAAATAAATTCTTTTAAGTATCAATATTTTCCAGAAGATAGGCAAATAAACCTCACATTTGATTAAGGAAAATATTAGGACACTAGGATATTCACAAAAATAGAACTGATTTTAAATACACATGATAACTACTCTATTTTAGGAGGTAGCTCAAAAGAACAGAAACGATAAACTTGCAAACTTGTATGAATTTATTTTATTCAACTTTTTTCAATTATTTATGTATAAATATAAAATAATATTACATTTGGATATTTCCAAAAGGCTTGAAATATTTCCTTCTCTTGGATGTGCAAAACTATGATAAAGGCAAGAGTATGAGATTTTGGGAATTATAGGCTTAAACGTGATATAATTTGTTTTCTTTTTTTTTTTTTTGCTTAAAAAGGGTTCTTGTAGCTCATATTTTAATTACATTCTTCTATAAAAAAAGCATCTTTCTGTGACTATATTGTTACAGAATGTTACAGTTGTTCGAATTCTGAGCCCTTCCTCCCTTCTTTGGTTGATTTTTTTTAACTTTGGACTTTCTTGAACAGAATCATAATGAGAAAGCAGAGAAGTTTGTTGCTAAAGGAAAAAGCAACATTAAATTTTTGTTTCAATGCTGAGTGGGAGTCTTTGACAGCTTCATCTTTTGGCAAGACATTTCTTCTAAACCTGCTGAAAATGTATTTTTTTTGGCGTGAGAGAGGGATACCAGAAATCAGTGGCAGAAAATACAAGAGACAAAAAAAAAAAAAAGAAAAAAAGAGAGGAAAAAAATAGTTTGGTTTTTTTTAAAAAGGATTTTTTGGTATATTGAACAAGGGCATTATACTTTGTTAATGCATAAAGGAAATTACTGCTTTCCTCTTCTTTTACTCAAGGATGGGTGTTTCATCTCTTCATTTACAATAAAAGTCAAACTATGGGCCTATCAATATCACAAGGGAAACATCAGGTGATATTTGTTTTATCTCCTTCCAGGCTAATTGCTTTGTCCAAACATACAGTGTGTAAGCAATGTTTAGGTTAAGGTAGAGCTCAAGCTCTCTGGTTAGGAAAAATAAATATAAATGTTTGCTCTGAAGCCGAAGTTAAGAGTCAATAGGTAGAGTTTTACTAATAACTCTATTTAACACAATTATTCTGAAACAGAATTTCTTATAGACCCATGTAGAGTCATTTATTAATTATCAATGTGAATATCTGCCCTTTGCAATGTTTAGGCAACAGCAGGCTGAGAAAACAACTTGGGGAATCACACTCTGATTTTGAATGAACATGGGGAAATGGTAGTCATAGGAAATCCTTGGGGAGAAGGAAGGTGATAAAAGTAGTATCACTAAAAGATGGCCAAATGAGTTCAAAGCCAGTATCATACCAGAAATTCATACCAGATAATACTCAAATTTATACCAGAAATGAAATTTATATCTCCTAAGTTAAAATCCACAAGTCAACAGAGATACATTCAAAAAGGATCTATTAGGTAATCAACTAAAAGATTCTCCTCTATGGTTAAATCAATTTTTATCTAATAATAACCAGAAGGAATGGACATGGCATATTACTTACACTATATTTTTAAAAGTAGCTTTCTCAGATAAGATCCAAACTACTACTAATAAATCACAACCCGTAACGCTATAAAACCTCCATCTCCCTTTTAACAACTGTAAGCCTGTAATGTGAGGATGGAAACATAATAAGTAACAGGGATTTTACTTCGGCAGCAAATATGTGTGTTCATGTGATTCTTACCTGGCCCCCTTTAGGCTGGTATTTGATGTTGTCTGTGGATCCAATTTTGGATTTGACATTCTTCAGGTCTGGCAGTGGTTGGTTGATAAGCCGAAGCTGTTTGGGAGTAGCAGGAGATTTTGGAGGCGTGCGTATAATGGCGACTTTCTTCTCACTGGGAACCAAGATGGCCGACTTGGGGGTTCCTGGTGTGTGAGGGGTCCTGGGGTAGCTAGGGGTTCCAGGAGTGCCTGGGGTGCGTGAAGAATAGCTTGGTGGGGTGCCAGGAGTGATGGCCGTTGATCCAGGGGTAGTGGGTGTGGAAGTGCCACTTTTTCCTGCTCTGCGAATTGGCTCTGATCCTATATTAGCAAAACCAAACCCAAACCACAGTGTCAGAAAGTTCTTCCCTGAGATACCCCTTTTCCAATCCATTGTTAGAACTTATAATTCATCAAATTTCTAAAGGGTTTAGGATATTTACAAATTACAACAATGCTTGAAAAGTTGAGAATCTTATATTTTTAGGCTCACAAATTGATGACATTCTTTTGAACATGCATTGCTATCAATGTGAAGATAATCCTTGGGTTTTCCTGATTTATTCTTAATTTTCATCATGAATATGTCAAAAATATTTTTTACTTGCATGGTCATTAAAGCATATGGATCTGCCTTTAGTTGGAAAAAGAGTCTGCACTTAATATTCTTTGTGGACGCATATAAACTGAAGATTCTTTGAATGATGTGTGGATTATTTATTCCTTTGTGCAGAAAGTTTATTCTGAGATCCAGGTGGATATACAACACAAAACAGTGTATTTAGATCACATGATTTTGGCGCGTGTAGAAAATTATTTAGCTTAAAAAAATCTAGCTCTCTCTTTTGAAAAGTGGGATGTTACAACAATTTATTCACAGTGAATCTTGTACTTGATTGTGTTTTCTCCCATACTCTCAGTACTAGTTTGCAGTTTGGAGTCAAATCAATAATCCCTCACTGTCTATTATACAAGATGCTGTAAGATGCATTTCTTTGCCTCAACTTGATGTTACCTTCATTTTATCATTTAACTCTTTCCCCCATTTTCCTATGCTATGTTTCTCTTTTATATTATCTTTTAAAATGTGTGCTTAAGTGCCATTTCAAATGCTTTTTTAAAAGAATAATGATATAAAAAAGAGGACACACCTTAGGAGACTCTCATTAAAACAGGAGATTCTCACCTTTTCAAAGAACTTTTGTGAATACCAAACATTTGATAACCAAACATGCGCATACACAATAGATGTGGCTCTTTTTATTTCTTATTCAGTAATAAGGACATTAAGGCTCATTTACCCAGATGACATTAAATTCTAAGGCAGATATGATACTCAGCTTCTTAATATTTGTTGAACTTTCCTCTTTTCTCTTAAAATAATACATTGATTCCAGTAATAGAATACTGACTTACATTGTTTATGTTATACAAATTCTCTCATTTTTAAAAATATTTTATAGAAAGGGCATGGTTTTTAGTTTTTACTGCTAAGTATGTAACTCTGTGGGGCTTTCCTGGTGACTCAGTGGTAAAGAATCTGCCTGCCAAAGCAGGAGATGCAGGTTGGATTCCTGGGTCAAGAAGATCCCCGAGAGAAGGAAATGGCCACCCACTCCAGGATTCTTGCCTGGGAAATCCCATGGACAGAGGAGCCTGGTGGGCTACAGTGCATGGGGTTGCAAAGAATTGGACAGGACTTAGTGACTAAATGACAACAATGTCACTTTTTAAAATCAATGAATCTTCTAGAAATTTTGAAGAGGATAAAGATATAACTCATTAACTTTAAAATCAGTAAAGTAGAAGGAATCCTAGAGTCAACTGATATAACTCATCATCAATGTAGAAAGTTATTTCTGAGAAGGGGGACAATTATTAATAATCTTTGCTTAAATATTTACAAGGAGTGAGCTCAAGTCTGCAAACAAAATAACTCTACCCAGGCTCAATCTCTTGGAGAAACAGAACAATTCTATTTCCTCTCTCAGTGAACAGTTTTCACATATCAAGGAAAGCTGCCCTGTGTCCTTTTGATCTTTTAGTAGAAGGGAAAGACATAGGTAGATGCTTCAATGAAAAATATGAAATGGGATTTGAGAAGAGTAAAGTGACAAATTAGTGATTTTTATTGCTTTCCACAAATATGACATTTCAAGACCAGGGTAATACAACCACATTCAACTTGGCTTTTTGTAGATTCTTGGCTACAAAGTTTGTTTATGGGCCAAGGTTTTGATCTTGGTTTGAGTCAGTCAGTATGTTCTGAAAAATCTCTTCAGAAAACTTATTTCTCCCCCAAATGTATTCTCCATCATTTCATCTTTCTTGACTATCTCAGGTCTTCTGAGGAGGGGGATCATATCTTTATTCTTTGTCCCTCTACCTAGCACTGGTGTCTTTTGTTGGGCCTGAACGCAGCAGAAGCTCAACATATTTTCTTTTTTGATGTTACAAACTTGATTCAAAATTTCTCTATGTACGGAGGTACTTTTTACTGTAATGGAGACTGAGTTGAAGCAATATTCCAGATAAACATAACAATATTAGCTAAGAGAAATATTTGAGAGTTATTTTGTGACTCAATGGACATGAATCTGAGCAAACTTGGAGCTAGTGAAGGACACAAGAGACTGATATGCTATATACACCACGAGGCTGCAAAGAGGTGGACACAACCTAGCGACGCCATAGCAACAAGAGTAAATGGCTTTATGTTTTGAGTATGTCAAGGAGGAAGGTACTGTGTTATATCTGGAAAATGAGAAAAAATCAGTCACAAGTATTAAGAAGCTCTTAATATTGTGGTTCAATAGATATCAATCAATTTTTATTATAATAAATTATGTTCTAGTCATCAAAAAATGACAAATTTGAGTGTTTCCTGTGTGTTCTGAAATAGAAAAGATTAAATCTAAGTTACTAAAATAATTCAAAAATATTTATGAGTTACTCTATTACAGTTTGTTCTTACTTATCTTGTCAAGTCTTCAATGACAATGTCTTTCCCTCCCTTTGGGCTAAATAAACTTCTTGCATAGCATTCTTTCAAGTTTTTTCAACAGCAGTACAAAATGCTAGAACATTCCCTTGTGCAGTTAAGGAGTAGTAGTGTTAGTTGCTCAGTTGTGTCCGACTCTGATCCCACAGACTATAGCCTGCCAGGCTCCTCTGTCCATGGGATTCTCCAGGCAAGAATACTGGAGTGGACTGCCATTCCCTCCTCCAGAGGATCTTCCCGACCCAGGGCTTGAACCCCAGTCTCCTGCAGGCAGATTCTTTACCTTAAGGAGATGATAGACAAATGGGAGAAGGCAAATTGTTTGTTCTGCTAATTGTCCCTATGTCTTTTAGCTACTGCTATGCAGGGATAAAATATACCCTATATCCTTAGATTATCAGAGTATCAGTTATGTTCATTACCAAATAATACAATGCCATATGCTTATGAATGTAAATAAAGTTAAAAAGTCAAAATAGAGTTGGCTCAGGACATAAAAAGCAATTTGTATAGAGGTGGACACGACTGAAATGACTTAGCATGCATGCCATTTTAAAAGGCAGAGCACAGTGGCTTAAAGTTGGGATTTGTGTGAGAAAGTGCCATTTTGCTTCCATAGCAACCAACACAAGTGCAGTTCAAGGTGTGCCTTTGGGGAACACTTGGTGCCTTTGTGTTGGCTCAGCATCCCAGGGGTTATTGTTGATGCCCAATTCTAACTCCAAATGTTTGGAGTTAAATTTTCCTCTCTGAAGATAACTCACTCTTAAAGGTTTACTTTGCTAGTTCATTTGAATACTTTATATGTGTTAAGAGTTTTAGTGATTTCAAAGTGTTCCTAGCATATATTTCAAAGGATGTTAATGCTTCACGAATCCAAATGTTTCAGGACACAATTGCTCTCATTAAAATAAACACTTTTATTACAGGCAAAAAACAGTTTTTTGTGTCGTACAAAGTAGTCACATTTGAAGTGGGGCTGCTGCTGCTGCTAGTGCTGCTAAGTCACGTCAGTAGTCTCTGACTGTACGACCCACAGATAGACGGCAGCCCACCAGGCTCTGCATTCGTGGGATTCTCCAGGTAAGAACACTGGAGTGGGTTGCCATTTCCTTCTCCAATGTATGAAAGTGAAATGTGAAAGTGAAGTCGCTCAGTCGTGTCTGACTCTTCGCGACCCCATGGGCTGCAGCCTACCAGGCTCATCCGTCCATGGGAGTTTCCAGGCAAGAGTACTGGAGTGGGTTGCCATTGCCTTCTCCGAGAAGTGGGGCAATTACTATTAAATACTTAAAAAATAAGTGGTGAAATCAACTGTAATGCGATAGTAGTAGCAATTTCCACCACTTTCATATGGATTTTAAATGACAGATATGCTATTCTCCAAATGTTTCTACCATTTTCAATAGTTTCTAAATGACAGGGATACTATTTTCTGAGTGACTCTATAGAACAATTCCCTAGTACTATTTCTTCTAAATAATTATAGAGAAGACATTAAAAGGACAGGTTGTGAATTTATCAGTAGGCTGAAAACCAAATTCAGCCACTTACTGGCTGTGTAGTACTGGACAAATTACTGTCTTTAAAAGGTCAGTTTTCTCATCAGTAGATTTAATGAGGTTATTAATACCTGACCATCAGCATTTTAATTGAATTGATTGAAAAATGTATCTTAAGATTTCAGCATCTATAAATGATTAATAAATAGTAGCTATTTTTGTGGTAATAGAAACACATTTATGAAAATAATTTGAATAACTAGATAGTCTTGGTAGTAACACAGTATGTAAGTGAGTAATGATTGGAGCATTTTTATATTCTTCACATAAACTGTGATAATTGCTGAGCATTACATTATGAGATCAAAAGAAATTGAAGCTATCACACAGAACATGCTATGTTTACAGCTTCACTGGAATGCAAATTCTTACCAAACTGAGCAGGATTCTTGATTTTGATTGTTGATTTTTCGGTTAGTTTTTATGACTTGGAATTCTAATAAAGGTTACTCTTTCATATTTAAAAAAATCCCCGACTATTGCTTTTCTATGCTAATTAGTCCTTTTGATTATCTTTTTCACTTTAAACTTGAAAGAAGAGAAAAACAATCCTAAAGTGACTTCAATCCTATTTAATGGATAACAAAGTAGTATATATTCATTTCCTCCATCAGTTGTTTTGACTCAAATAATTGTTTTGGACCCACTGATAGTCTGAATTTCTGATTCTTAGGACAAATATAATCTGATGTAAATACAGGTTGTATTTGAAAATGTAAAATATAAATATGTTATAAGCTACTCCACTTAAGGGATTTTTAAAAAGTGAATGAAAAGGAAGCCAAACCAAAATAAACCTACGAGTGGTCCGCCGTGCAGAAGAGGAGATAGAACTGTTGAGAGAGAAGGAGTTTTCGTCTCTGTCTCCTGATACGCCTCGGCGAGGAGGAAGGATGGAGGAAGGTCTCGGCAGAGAAGAGCGCTTCTCTGGGCTCTTGGTAACTCCATCCTGATTGGAGAAAACAAAATGATGTGGGGTTCCCGTGAATCTTCGTATACAAAGAGATTATATTGCCCTGGCTAAAATTATCCTCCTGGGCCAATAGAGGAATTTCTTTTAATCCACACTACTGACTTGTACATACTTAATAAGTATTTCTCCTTTACAACTTAGAAAGAGTTCAGAATACAAAAATATATTATTTTGGAGTGAATGTTAAAAATTGACTGTGAAATTCAAATTCTAAGTGATAACATGAGTAGAAATGTGCTGAAGTAGTCTCCAGGTAATTCATAATTTTCCTGACAAGTCTTATCAGCATGATACTGTATCACTAAGACTGGCAGAAGGGCACTGCATGCACAGTATTTAACGATGACCACTCCTGTATATAGTGCACTTATGTGACAAGAATGCTAAGCACGTTACATTCACTGGTTATTTAATTTTTACCCCCAAATATTATATGCATTTTAGAGCTGAGGAAACAGGTTTCAACAGTTTATGTAATTTTTGTAAGAATCACAAATTGGGATGTAGCAGATTTAGTATTAAATCCTGATGTGTCTGATGCTGAGCCCAGACTGTCCATTATATTTTAAATAATTTGGTACCCTTAGATTATATGTGTCACATATAATATCAAATACAATATATTTTGTTTGTATTTGAAATTTTATTAAATATCAAATAATAAATTATGTACTGTATATCTTAAAAAAACACAAGTACTATTTTTTAATGATTAAGCTGTTTATAACTACTGAAATATTTAATTGGTATCAGATTTTTAATAGGGTATATTGTTTATATGTCAAACACTTTAGGATTGAAACTCCTGGCTTTCAGACATTTACTGAATTGCGTCCTTCTCCCCAGTTATATTCCTTTCTGCACCTTTGGTTGGCTTGCTGCCTTACCTTGTTCCCTGATTCTGAGTATGGTAAGCGGTCTGTGGAGCCCGCTGAGGTGGGCTGTATGAATAAACTTTCAGAAAATGTAGCCCTTTTAGTCACGCTAGGGCAGGCTGAGCTGCATCTTGGGGACTTTGTGCTACTCTGTAAGGCAGGAATCTTTGACAAGGTAGAATTCTAGCCATGGAAGAAAGCAAACAAAAACACAAAATAAACCAAACTATGAAGTAAAAGGAAAATTAAAAACATATAAACATATAAGAAATTAAATGTCTACTTTAAATAAGAACACATGATAAATGGTTATAATCAATGACAGACATGTATATTATGTGAGAACAAGAGATTTTCATTGAATACCTCTAACTGGAACTAAGAATATTCAGAAAATGAGAATATAGATTAAAATATTATTTATAAATTCTATGTATAAGGTCTCTGATTAAGCCATAGAACTTATAATGATACCATATTTGGAAAATATCTTGAGACTCTTCTAGAATTAGTCCTTTTAATAAACATAGCACTTAAATGGTATATATAATCAATATTTTTGATGGCATTTCAAGAACTAGAGAATAAAGTATATTTCAATAACTGTGGAACAAGTATATTTAAGGCCTAATAATGGAAAATATATTTTTAAGCTGAGAAAATGTATTTTTAGACTGTCTACACTGATTTCATCAGAAAGTTGCAGATTCTAAATACAATGAGTTCATTTTATGAGTTAAATTCACACCAGGGACCAAGTTATACCACAGAATTAGTAACATTTTTATGTTAGTAAATCACACATTTTCTATTATGTGTTATAAATTCTAAAAATTGAAGTCAGCACTGACTAGACTGCCCATGAAAATCACACTTTCACAGGTGTTGATAATCCCTGGGGTGACTGTTGTCAAGTACAAGTGTAAGTGCTTTAAATGTATATACTCAGCTTTTGGAGAAAGCTATGCTAGCATGCTACATGGCTCGGGGGGAGATTGTTAAAAATACAGAGCCGTATGACAAAGCCGAGGAGATTTTAATCTTCAAATAATTAATATTATTTAGCTGTTACAATAATAGTAATTAAGACTAACGTTTCTAATCTCAAGTTTTAACCTTCGGAACCACTTTGACATAGGCATAAGTATTCACAGATTGCACAAATCACTTCTTGTTTTACAGACCCAGCACCTTAAGTAGGAAGTGTAACTGGGTCAGTGTAAGTCATTCTTTTTTGATTGACATTATCCACAAATAAGCAAGTTTCAAAAGTGTGGTATAGGAAAGAAAAGTGAAGTAACTGGATTGGTTTAAATGATGAAAGACAGCTACTAATGCTAGATAAAAAAACAAATAAAATGAACAAACAAACAAAAAACTCAAATGAAATGAAAGATTATATTGATAGATCAGGTTCACAATAAAGATCAATTGAAAAATCGGAGAGAAGATTCTGATAGATACAGTAACTATCAGAGGTAGATAAGAGTTAATCTTGGGATTTTAGGAAACTATAGGAAGAGGATGAAGTTATAAAGAAAAAGAGAATAAATTAGAAAAAGAATGGTGGTCTAATCTCTGTCAGAAGATTGAGATGGGTATTTACAAGGAAAAAAGTTAGGTTTTGTTTGGTTTCTGTACAAGTGTGGCCACTGAATGCTAATTCTTGTTGAAACACATTTATGAAAATAATTTGAATTACCAAACAGTCTTGGAAGCAACACAGCACGTAAGTGGGTAATGACTGGAGCATTTTTATATTCTTTGCATAAACTGTGATAGCTGTTGACCATTACATTATGAAATCAAAAGAAAGCTATTGCACAGAATATGCTATGTTTACAGCCTCACTGGAAGGCAAATTCTTACTAAATTGAGTAGGATCCTTGATTTTGATGGTTGATTTTCTAGTTAGATGTTAAGACCAGTAATTCTAACAAAGGTTAAGCTTTCATATTAAAAAAAAAAAATCCTGACTGTTGCTTTTCTATGCTAATGAGTTCTTTTGAATTTTCATTTTTACTTTAAACTTGAAAGAGAAAAAAATATATTCTGAACATGACTTTATTTCAATTCTTTTTAATGGATAACAAGGTAGTAAGTATTCATTTCCTTCATCAGTTGTTTTGACTCAAATAACTGTTTTGTACCTACTGATAGTCTGAATTTCTAATTCTTACACACAATCTGTTTTTAATACATGTTTTATTTGAAAATGTAAAATATAAGTATTAAGGGGTTTTAAAAACTGAATGAAAAGGAAGCCAAACCAAAATAAAACCAAGGGACCTGAAAATTTCTTAAAGTTTTTGCAAACAGGGTATACTTAAAAATTATTTTTTATAATCAGGAGAAAACTCAGACTTACTTTCTGTATCTGCTCCTAAAGAGTTCTACTTTTAAAATAATAATAACTACTGCTATTTATTGAATAAATACTATGTTCTAAGCACTATAGAGTGCTTATTATATAGGAATTTTTACTCTTCTCCTTATTTTTGGTAAATTAAGACACAGGAAGAAAAAGATTATATCTAGTTAATAAATGTTCAAAACTTAGATCTGGTTTGTTTCATAGCCCTGCTCTTAACCAACACAATACACTAGTTCTCCATTAGAAATAGAAGGTAAAGAGATATAAATCCTGAAATAACAGCTCGGTCAAATAAAATTACCAGTGCAATAGATGGATTGCCTTATGTTCAGTAATATGTCTGAAAACATTTATACAATAATCAGATATACAAATAATTTTTTAACCAACATAAAGGTCCTTGGCTTCAAGATGATATAAAAGGTTCTGCTGTCGCTGAAATGAATTCCTGTCTTTCATAATAAATAAAAAGTAGAAGTTCAAAATTTTATTAGGTTTTAGAAAGCTAAACAAAGAATTGTGATTTACATGTCATATATTATGGCTACAACCCAGAACATTGTGATATCATTCAAATTATTTGTCAAAATTTTAAAATTTCATTAGATTCCTTTTTTCCTTTCAGTAAGAAAGAAAACACTTTGTATTCTCTTTGGTCTTTTGAAAGTTTAAAAAACATGGTTAATAATATAAAAAATAAATTTGCAAAATAAGAAATATAAAAGATTTATAAATATGAAAGAAGCTAAACATCATTAATTCAACCAAATTAAAACAACAAAATATTTCATCTCTATCACTTGTTAAATAAAGAAAAAGCAATATCTAGTAATAATGAATACAAGCATGTTCATATACAGCCAGAGTACATATAAGTCTAGAACCTTTCTACAAGGCAATTCTGCAGACTTTCTTCTTGAAACAATGATTTTGCTATTAGAAAACTACCAAGGAAATGTATATGGACACATTCAGCCAAAACAGATTTCTACAGTAATACCACTAAAATAACAGAAAACTGTTTGAATACAAAATAACAGGAAATTGATAAAGCATATCACTGTAAAAATATAAAATGCAACATTATATAGTCATTAAAATGATGTATGAGAATGTTTAATGACATAGAAAATTTTTAGTGAATAATTAAAAATCTGATACACATCTTCCATCTTTATTATTAAACCTATAAATGTGTAGAAAAATTAATATCTTGCATCAAAATGGTAACTGCAGTTATCTTTAGATAAAGAGATAATAATATATTTTTACTTACTTATCTACATTGTTTAAAATTCTCATATTCTTAATATATAATAACAATGAAAAAGTGCTGTAAAATACATTGTAGTGCTGATTACAGTGGTTTATCTTGATTCTATGAAAAGCAAATAAATTGAGTTCTTCCACTTTTCTCCAGATCATTGTGGTGTTTTGTATGTTTCTTTTTACTAAAAACAGAGGCAGCCTGCATCCCAGCTCAACCCTCACCAGCTACCATCACATTCCAGAAGATATCAGGACATGCTCGAATGCCATCGAGAATCATGCTGGGTGAGCAAATGATTTAAAAGAGTAGATATCTAAAGTCTAAATTTTATCTAAAATTATTAAGACACTGCCACTAATACCAAAGGGAACTTCAAATAAAGAACAAGGAAAGAGGTATGTTACTCACAGAGACTTTGTCCTTTGCCTGTTTAAATACACTGGGAGCCTGAGCTGATTCAGCACCTGCTGCTGTTGAAAGAGACACAAACAACCCCACACTTAGTGGCTGAAGACCACATACATGCATTTTTCATACCTTTTGGGTATTCAGTTCTGTCAACAGACTAATGTAAAGTGAATTTTGTTTACACTGAGACTCAAATTTAGTAATTGACAAAATCTGAATAATAACAACATTACAGCATGTGGCTCCCACTACACAGTGTGCTAATGACTATAACCCAGTGTTTACCAAAGCACAGATAAGCACACCATGTGATTTTCTGTTACCAGGAAATTTCTGTTACCCTTAGATTACTATCGATACTTTAGAATGGAGATCGCAGGACAGTTATCCGAATGCTGCAGAATTTAAGAAAAAGGGGCATGTTTGGTTTCTAGGGTGGGCATCACATAAGAATACTCACAGAGATTCCCAAACCTTCTTTATGTAGCCACTGGCATATTTCTGCATTTTATATTTTAAACTATTACAGTCTGCCAACCCCTTTTTCCTCTGCACCCCTGGCATTTCATAATAGCAAGACACACTTGTTTGACATGAAATGTGCCACATGAGAAGGGAAGGGAAGAAAAATAGCTTGTCAAGAAGAGAAAACAGGAGAGGAATTTCAAGCTCAATAAAATAGACCATGTTCTACACATGCACTTCCTGTATGAAATTATTACCATATCTGTTACTGTTGTTTTTCTTGCTGCTGTTTTATACCTCTGGTTTCAATTTTAAACTCCATCATCTCCAGCATAATTTCTGTTGACAACTTACCTGACTTGACTTAACTATTTTTTCACAATTGAATACAACCCTTTGTGTTTGGGGAAACTATCTCTATTTAACAATTGAGCTTAGAAAATAAAAAGCTGGTATGTTTGCTCTAATTTTCTTTTGCAAGAGAGAAATCCTCAGGAAAAAATACTTATCCTTATAAGCACTCTAAATGAGCTTTAAAAAGGTTTCTCATGCCATATGCAGTCCTAACACAAAAATAATAGTGGCCTACAATATGTTCCATGCTATTTAGGACTGGCTAGTAAGATTATTCACAGATTCTCAAACTGTTTTTCCAAAGAAGCAGTGCAAATTATGGCTCTTTACTATTTCTATAATATAGCTCACGTTTGTGTGACATATATGCTTTGGTTTAAGTCAGCAGCACTTGTTTGGTATATGCTTTTTGTTTGAGTATCTTAATAACTGAATAAAAAAGAGCAAGATCCTAACTTAGTCCAAAGGTCTTAAATTTCCTTTAATGAATGAAGTAAAAAGGCAAGTTACTCTCAGTGTGGCAAACTGAATACCAATGACATGTGGGTACTTCATCAAACCATTTGACACTTCCTCTGAAATTATACAATCCTAATATAATTTTCATCTTTTCAGATGGCATATGGGATTTTTACACCCAAACCAAGAGATTCTGCCTGTGGAAGCATTTTTAAAAATATAAAAATTCCAAGTTTAATGAAAATGTACTATGTGAGATATAAAATTTAGAGATGTCATGTTAATTCATAATTCTTAACTTACTTCCTCATTCTAAACCTTCATCATCAAGGTTTGTGTATAATTATAAACCATCTACTTTCAAATCTTGCCTTATATACTAGTTCTTGAAGGAAGCACATGAGATACTTCCTATATGAAGAACACAAATTAAAAATACTTGAAATTTTCAGTAGCTATCACAAAACATCAATGCCTTGATATTCTTCTTACAAGGGTTAATGCTGCTGCTAACCCTTTAAAGCCATGCAAAGATTCATGCAAAGGCACTTCTAATGTGTATATAATGGAATGAAAAATATTGCTTTCTGACTTAAGCTCTGATACCTTCCTTTGTAGACTGCAAGTGTGCCATTTAATCAATACTAAAATAAAATATATCATAATTAAGAGTATCCTAATATAATACATACTTTGCACTGAAATTGAGGAATAGAATTTGCATTATAGATATTACATAGGGGCTTTTATTATGATTTGTAACATGTTTCACTCCTTAATCCACTGCTTATTTAAATAGTAAAAACAAAGTACATTTGAAGACGACAGAACAATAAGAAGACAACAAGATAGAAATAAACCTAAATTCTAAGATATTTGGAGGAAGGGGTTTATTAAATTTATTAAATTTTTGAATACTACATTATAGGGAGAAGTTTAATCCAACACATTTTAAGAAAATTCCAAGGACAAAATGTCAACCAAGAGATGCAGTATTGTCAGAAAGCCTAGCTAATTTTGGATATGAAAAATAAACTCTGATGAGATTACCAGACAGTTTCTTTTTCCTTTTTTTTTTCTTTCATCCGAAAGCAAAGGAAGTTTTCAACCACAATTTTATCCCAGATTTGCTTCTCATTCTCCATCTCAAAATCCCTATGCATTCTTGGTGGTCCTCAGTAAATCCATCAACATCAGTAACAGATTTGGCAGTAACAATATAGAAACTAGGACAAATACGTATGGGTTTAAGCATGAGGGAGATAAATAAGCAAAATAATGAGAATGCATACCACGGTTATATTCATCGCCATCGTCTAACCAAACACACAGAATGAAAACAGGAATCCCCAGAACGTGACACTAGAGCACAATGCCAAGATACAATCACTGTTAAGTCTCAGCATGACAAAGAAACAGATGGTCATGACCTCTTCTGTAGGGAAGGGATAAAAAAAGAGTAATGATACAAGACACTTAATAGCGAAATTGTTCATGACTGCTGAGATTCTCGGAAGAAAAACAAAATGAAGCTGCTAAGGTAATGAGATAAAAAAAAAAAAAAAACATGTCTATGTTTGCCAGCCACATTGCAGAAGTGAACAGTCACCTGTCGTTTTCCGCTTAACACAGGAGAGATGAGTTGGTCTAGTATATTTGATAGCAGGTTTTAAAATGAATTTCCTGGAGGGAGAGTGGGCCTGAACTTCTGTTTTTTTAGCAAGTTCAGCCTTCTTATAAACTGCTATGAATAAGAAAACACAGAAAGCATACCATCAGGAGAAAAATATACACTTGGAGCAAAACCGAACGAAATTTCATCAATAATTAGTTAACCACGGTTAGGCAGTTTTCTTCTACAAAAGAGTAATAATGAATTACTTCAAAAACATTTATAAAGAAGTGATTGTGAAATGAACCTTTTTTCCTTCTCACTTCATCTCTGGAGACTGTGCTAGGTTCCTTTTTAGCTATTTTTCTTTCAGGAGTGGAAATTCTGCCTCTCCCGGTTTTAAAAGGCTTTTCTTTTCTATGTTTCTCAAGAGATGATCTCCGAGCTTCCTTTTCAGTTTTCTCCTCTTTAGGGATAGTTTCTAACTGTTCTGTCATGATGCTTCTATCATCATCTGTGGATCAGAGCAAACCATGACAACAACAACAACGACAACATTAGTAACAAATGTACAAAATCCTCCATCTGTCTAACAAAATGCAAAATACAGAGATAAAGGGACATTTTTAAATGTCTAAAATGAAAAAAAAAAGTTTTTCCACTAGGATACTGGATTTTATTTGGGAGTAGAAAATTGAAAAATATAATGCACACCTTGAGTGTCCACCCAGAGGCTGTCAGCATCCATGATGGAGTCATCAATGGTGGTCTCATCTTTGTAATCCTCATAGGTCTCTGTCTTATATTCTGAGAGTCCAACCTCTTCTCTCTCAGGGGAAGCTGGAGCCTCTGGGGAACCATCCTTGGGTTCAGCCTGGGCTTCAGCTGCCTCTTCTGGTTCAAGTTCTTCTCCAGCATGGGGTGACGGTCTCCTTTCCACCTCAGGCTGCTCGAGGGCTGCAAAACGCACACTGTGGGAACCTGACTCCCCTTCATCAGTTGTGGTTTGCACGACGGTGATGAAGTCGTCCTCGATGGTTACTACAGACTCAATCACTCCTTTGTGCTCACCGGGACAGGTCTCCACAAACTCCTCCCTGACACCTGGGGCACCCAGGTCAGTGATCTGAAGGGTGTCTGAGCGGAAGAGTAGCTTGTCATACTCTCCCCGGGCTTCGATCTCTTCTTCCTCGCTCTGAGCCTCTGCTGGTTCAGCTCTGGCGGCTTCAGGCAACTGCTCGGTAACATCGGAGGGCGTGATGGAAATATCCGGGGCCTCTTGGCTTTCTTCTTTTGGCAGCTGAATAAATTCCATCTGGACATCAGCTCTCTCATCTGTGGCTACATCAGTCTCTGAAACCACAGGTGCACAGGGTATTTCCACAGACAATTTGATGGCAATCTCGTCTTGAATTAGAGAAGATTCTGGGGAAGTTTCCTTCTTGCCCTCATCGGCTTTCAAGGACTCCATGGTGAGGCTTTCATGCTCACCGCTGGACTCATAGGATTCTTCCTTGTCCACAGCTTCCTGGTGCACCAAGTCAGGCTTAGCCACTTTCTCCTTGACTTCTGTTTCACTAACTTTGGTGCCTTCTTTCACGTGGCTGGACTCAACACCCATAAACGCATCTACCTCCTGAGGGGCTGTGGCTGAGGGGGCGAGGTCCTGGGTAGCCTCAAGTTTAAGCTCTGCTGCCCTTCCAGCATCGACATGTAGCCCTGAGGCCATCTGTCCAAAGTCACTGATTTTAATATCTAACTGACCTTGTTCGGCTTTCTTCTCAGCCAAATCCAGTTCTGCTTCAGCTTTTTTGGATGGTTCTACCTCAGCTCCCTCTGGAACTGAACTGAGACCTTCCTCTGCTTTCTCGGCCACGAGAGGTGATGCATCTTTAGAGACTGTCAGTTCTCTGGCTGCAGCTTGCTCCTGGGTCACTTCTAATCCAAGAGTTTCGGCTTCATCCCCAGCCTCTTCTGTTTCCTTGGTGTGCTCTTTTGAATCAGCATGTTCTTCACTTTTCTCTAGGACTGTATCCAGCTTATCATTCGCCTTCTTCTCCTGATCCAACTCCCTACTCAGTTCTGCTCTGTCACCAGAGATAGGTGGGGATGCTTCCTTCTCAGCACCGACTTCATCTTTTACTCTTCCGGCAGCTGCCAGCTTGACTTCAATTAATGAAAGATCGGTGGCCAAATCTCTTCGTGCTTTATCATCAGTGCCTTCATAAAAGGAACCACTCTCCCCAGATAAATTCTCACTGTCTTGAACAGGTGATGGGAGGGGGACTGTGTATTTATTGAACACACAGTAGCCCAGGTCTTCGAGTTGACTGTCGGTTTTCACGATGATGTGGTTTTCATCAGTGACAGGGGGCAAGCCAGTGCCACTCTCCTCCACCACAGTCTCCGATGGGACTGATTTTCTCCTGGCAACCTCAGTGTCTGCACTCACGGAAGCTAATCTTGACCGAGTGCCTGCCAGGTCTAGCATTTCAGGCAAGTCAGGGGCCATGACAGTACCATTTTTGTAATAATCTTTGGCTAGGAAAGGCGACTCACATGATGTCTCGACTCGGGCATTTTCCTCCCCAGTATCTTTTTCTTCCTTTACCTGTTCTTTTTCTTCTTTGCTTTCGGTTGGGAAGCAAGGGGCTTTGTCCACAGCAGGTGTTGTGGCTGGAAGGTAATCATCTCCTTCATCCATACTTCCACTAGTGTTGGTGAGAATGTCAGAAGCCAGGGGAGAAAGATCATGCCCTCGACCGAAGTTAAACCCAAGGGCTATGGAATCCAGGCAAGACATGGGCAAATTGATGGACATGCTTCTTTGTTCTATTGCAGACCTACCACCAAGTCCTAAACTCCTGCTTAGCGTCAGATCATCCTTATTCTTACTGTGGAGATCTCTTTTCTCTCCGTACACTTTTGGATCAATAGTGAACATTCTTTCTTGAGGAGAACTGGGTTCTTCTGGTAAGTCAGACGGATGACTCTGTGCGAGAGTGCTATACCCTGCTTCTTGCGCTGGAGCCCTGGGCTGGGGTTCTTCTTCTGGGAGTGCCTTGTCGCCATCTTTATGCACGGGAGATACAGCATCGAAAGCCTCTTGGGCACTTTCTCTGGTGTCACTTAGTTCATAGTAATCACTGCCTGGCTGGATGCTTTTGGTCACTTCTTCTTTCAAGGCGGATGTTTCAAAGTACTTGGACATTCCTGACTTGTCTTCATAAAATGCCATGTCGAGCTCAGCTGATGTTACAGCTTCAACTCCGTCTACCTCATGATCTTTGTCAGCAACTTTTTCCTCCAAGAGCTCCTGGGTGGCAGTCTTTTCACTTAGTGCAGTTGGTTCCATCATGACTTTTTCCGGTGTCTGAGTGGTCACGGCTGAATCAGTAACTGCTTGCTCCAAACTTACAGGGAATGAGTCCTGTTTTACTATATCTGTGGGAGGCTCCTGGCCCTTCTCTTCTTTTTTGGAGTAAGTGTGTTCTGTGGAAGGATGAATGATATTTGTTTCTTCATCTGTCAATTTTGGGGATTCACTCTCTTTTGGCATGTCTTCTTTGTCAGAAATAGTTGTTTTTTCTTCAAGCTTTAGGTGAGGTTCCTTTTCAGCAAGTAGAGATTCCTGTCCGCTGAGGGTGGGAGTCTCTTTTATCTGCACACTTTCTTCCTTTATCATCCCTTTCTCTTCTTCTGAAACTTTCTCTGGGACACACTCTTCCACAATCGAAACGTGAGCATCTTTGGGTGCAGCAACTGCCTCTGAGGCTGGTGCTTCTGCTATTTTGTCAGGTTGATCCTTCTGGGGCTCTTCAACTTTAGAACTATCTTTGGCAGTTGCTGGGCTACCAGTTTCTTCCAGAGATTTTTGGTCATCTGGCTGTAACAGGGAGGGAACAAAGGGTGATGCTGCTGCAACTATTTCAGTCTTTGAGATGTCAAAAGGAAGAGTGAAGCTTCCACCCTGAAAGGGACTCGGCATGGGAGAATCAAATTGTTTCCCTTCCCATTTTGGGATATCCTCAAGTACATCTTTTTCCTTCATGGGTGTTAGGGGGCCAGGAGACATGGGAGCAACTAAACCCCACTCGTCCTTTTTGGCTTCCGTTGGCATTTGGATGAACCAGTCCTTCTGCTCTTTTGCAGCTGTGGGCTCTGTAGGAAGGCCAATATCAGGTACCACTAGGCTTGGTTCTGTCTTGGGTTTTGTATCTTCTAGGCTGGCACCGAGAGTGTGCCCAAACAGAGTGGGAGGTGCTTTTTCTTCTTCTGGGCCTTGTATGTCCTTTTTATCAGGGGAAGTTTTAGTTGTTTCCAGCTGAGAAACTAAGGCAGCATGTTTAAGGTCTTCACCAGGCTTACTTTCTGTCTCTGGTTCCTTTTCCTTCTTGTCTACTGGCTCGGCTGGAGAGGGAGTCAATTCCTGTTGATCATGAAACTCCATCTTCGAGGCTGTAAGTAAACCTGAAGTAATTGGGTTGATTTTTAAACATATAATAGGCAAGTGCTTTCAGGCAGTAAGCTTAAAATTATCTTTTGAAATGGCAAATGAATGGTAGGCTTGAAAGAAAAACTATGAAACATGCAAGCATGCTATTCATTTAAAAATCAAAATGAAAATGTCAGGACTGAGATATATTTGTATGATTGCTAAAAACTCCCACTGTGAATTAATGTGTACAGAAATGGAAATGAGTATATTTTGAATACTCTTTTTTCCTTTGTTTGTTTGATCTCTCTAAACAGTACATGATGTGTACTATAGTAGAAAAAAATGTCATGTACCTTCTACAGATAAAAACTACAAATTAAAGAAAATTTAATAACTAGTTAACATTAGGGTACAAGATAATCTATATAATCTATAATCTAAATATGGAAAAGAATTGGTTTCAGCCAAACTTTTCCTTTTCTCATTGAAAAGTGAATTGGTAGCCCATGGACAGAAAGCCAATTAATTTATAATAATATGTGTTAAATAATTTCAGCTAACTTGACCAACAAATGCCAAGACCAGTTTTGGCGGCATTGAAATGTTCCTAGAATAAATTTTTAGAAGTCATCTAAGATTAAATTTTGGTAATACAAATAATTGCTACTGACTTTGTTTGATGTGACCTAAATATTAACAAGATAATTTCTACCATGTATCAAAATTCCTAAGTCCTAATCAATACTTAGTCTGTATGATAGATGTAAGAAAATCTGAATTATACTGTTAATACTGGGAAGTTACATGAGTAACAAAATTTTAATAAGAGTCAACTATTAAAATGTCTTTTTTTCCTTGGTCATGACCTCATTTCCTGGAATGTGACCAACAGGTGAAGCACTGACCAATATTGGCTTTAGAGATGCTTCACAGAGACTAAATGAGTCTTTGTAATTTTTATTTGTTCACCAATTCAAAAGGCTTCAGAGTGTCACTTGTATTTTACAGCCAAAGTTATATCATTGTGGTCACTAAGGCGAAATGTAATTGTCTGGAGAAGATTTGGGGAAAATTAGTAAATTCAGTCCTCTGTTGAAGGGCAAGTGTATGGATCATCATTAACTTAAATACTTGTGTGTCTTGTCACAATAGAAAATACATACTTTATGAATTCTCTAGTAAAGGTTAGATGAATGAAAACTTAAGAGAAATGGTGATGATCAAAGGGGTTGGTTGCCATGGAAAGGAAATGATATGAGAAGCATCAGCAGGTGCTTTTGAGGAAACCAAACAAGTATTCACTGAAGCATAAAAAAAAAATATAGCACATTGCAGTTGCAAACAAAAACCATTCTACCACTGAAGCCTGTAATAATGTGCCAAAATCCACCTCTACGATTTGAAAGAAAAGCATATGAATTGCTGTCCCCAAAAATAAAAATAAAAATATACATGTATTAGCAATGTGACTGGCAAACATTTGAGATGAGGAGGGGCAGGGGCGGAAAAAAAGCTCACATAGCGTCATCAGCCTGGCTGCAAAGCGTATTGTATCATGGCAAAGTAAAACCAGGAATCAGCTGCAGCAGTGGAAAACCAGGCTGCCACACAGCACCTGCACAAGCCACACTCTTTGCTCTTTAAGTCTCAGACAGGGGTCTTGGTATCATGAGACGACCCAGCGATGGAATAGCATTGGAAAGGCATCAGACTGGTAAGCTGCTGGAGAGATCACTTGCAACAAAAGACATGCAAATCCTAAGAAAGACACACCTTCCCCGGCAGAGGAAGGGGTTTTTACTGCTGGAGACACCTCCGTGACCGTGACCTCTTTTACACTTGTCTCCTGTGGGGCCCCTGCTGGGGCGTTGTCTGCAGGAACTACTTGGGCCTCCGCACTAGACTCCACTTGGCCCTCACTGAGGCCCTTGGGCTGATCTGAGACCTTGGCAGCCCCACACTCTTTCTCAGGAAGAGTGGCAGGTTTCTCTTCCTCAGCCATTGGACTCTCTAGCGTTTCTTCTTCTTAGGGATGAAAAAGATGTTGACATCATGACCATAGAAACATACATGAAACAACAGAAATATTATTCAAGGAACACTTTCAGCTCTATTTTGTTGACCTCACAAGAACCTCTTTTACCGTTTAGATGAACAAATTAATATCCTAACTCAATGGACATTATGTATTGCTTGGAAAATTAGTAAATATAATCGGCTAATAATGATGCCTTTTAAAGTCTCATTAAAAGGCTCTTTATTTTAAAACTTGAGAGCTGAAAGGGTTTTATTGCTCTATTACCCTTAGTGGAAATGGCAGTAAGTCGCACACAATGTGGAAAGCTGGCTGGAAATAAGAGATGGCGCTGCCAGATAACAGATGGTTGTGAAAAGATAGATGCATTGATGTGCTGCAACAAACCTTTAAGTTTGTAAGTCATGTGCTGTTTTCTCCAATGCAGGAAGCCCCTACATACGAATTCCTGATTACTTAATTTAAAACATGCCAACTTCACTAAAGGGATCTTTGGGAGTAAAGATTATTATTATTTTGGCCTCAAAATAATATCCAATCAACCACTTTATTATCAACTTTATTATGAAATCCATCAAAACTCTTTAAGACATACTTTATTTAGTATTTTTAAGGCCAAAGACTACCTAACTCAATTAATTTTACTTTCATTGCATTACATGATTGGAGAATGTAAAAATTTTCAAGAAGTAAGTAAAATATTTTGAAAAACAAGGTCCAGGTAAAAGTTAATTTCATTGCTATTTAGAAAAGTCTACCTCTGGGACACAGCTGTTATCATATTGTTCAAACCACTGAAATATCAGTAATATAGTTCTTGTATAGTTCTCTTTGACACTAAAGAAAGAAAATGTGCATATTATAAAGTTTCATTTCTGCAATTCAAAACAAAACCACCAAGGAAAGATAGCCGAGTGGCAACAAAACTGCCAAAATATCCTTCCCAAAGATATATATCACACAGAAAAATATTAACAATTAAAATGTAACAAGTTTATGAAAGGCCATGAATTATGCTGTTTATTTGTTTCTCACTTACACTTCAAATATCAGTAAAATAAATCCCATTTTATTGCTTAAGAAATTAGAGGGAAATATATAAGCTGTCTTATAGTTCTTCAAATGAATGATTCTTTTGAAATTCCTATGAACAATCATACATTGTTTAAATGGATCTGAGAGAAAAACTATAGATGGAAAGGAGAGAAATTTTTTGAGAAACATTAAAGCCCTTATGGGGAAAAATGAGGATTGCTACTATTTTTTTCACATTTAAGGCACAGGTACTTTAATTTTTAAAATTTAACTATGTCAGTAACATTTTAATAATTCAGATTCTAACTTATTATTAAGGCAATTTTTACAATGCCATAGAATTAGAGATTTTGATTAAAGCTAAGAGACTTTTAATATAGCTGCTTTACTAATATCACCTTACTGGATGAAATCAATTTAATTTACATGTTTTCTAAGTCCATGTAAATTTTTAGCTTTCCAGTTTCTCATTTTGTATAAATCATGTTTATTTCCACACCTGTTCTTTATTCAAAATTCACATATTTTTCTTAATTATTTTAAGTTCATTTAATTTTACTCAATATGCATTGTATTTTTCTATCACAATGTCTGAACCATTGGTGCTCTTGCCTTGGAACTATCTGCCTTTACATTAAATATTATGCCATACAAAAATATACTCTTCACTTAAGCAAGTTTTTTTTCCCCCATTTCAAAATGACATCCACCTAAGCAAAAAAAAAATTAGCCCTATTTTTTTCTTTATAATACTACCTTGTTAGAATGAGATAAATTGCAGCACACTGTCCACTTATTTTATCCTCCCCACAGCCAACTATACATAAGGTCTCCACCTTCAAAAGACTGGAATGACAAAAGCTTTGGAGCATTTCCTTCATTTTAGCCCACTTCTACTTATCTGAACCAAGATTTAGTCACCTGAGGAAGCCTCTATAATTTTTGTAGATGTTTAAGTGATTTGAAGAAATAAGTTAATTCCATAACATTTATTCTACCCTAAACAATTATTTCTCTTTTAAAGGGCTATCACCTTAACATGGCACTAAATAGAAACCTAACTCTCTAAGTCTGGTCTAGTAATATGGAAAAATTATATTAAGGGTCATCTTCTTTGGTTTGGGTAAGGAGATACATTCTTTCCCTATTGATATATTTGCAAGGGGTAGAAAGAAGTCATACTTTGTTTGAACTTTTTTTGCTTCCTTCTCAGAAGCCATGAAGAAAAAAAAGAAGCACTCACATGTCTTAAATCAGACTTCTTCCATAAATACTGTTGAGGCATTTGGATGGACATGAGCGATATAGGGACTTCACTTTCATATGGAAAAAACAGGCTCCTGCCCCTCCCACCCGCACATGGAGGCACACTCAAGGTGATGCACGTGGTCAAAGCTGCAGGCTGGGGAGGAGGAGCTAAAGGGGACCATGCTTGGTTCACCTTTCTCCTGGCCTAAGTGGGCCTCTGCACTCTGCGCTGGGACACTGGGGCGCACACTAGAGGCAGTCCACTCTGAGCTGAACAAAGGATGCTCATAGTACTCCTCATCGGAATTGGAAGGGTCATCATCAGGCACAGACACCGAGATGGAGGGGGCTAGGAGTCTACACCTCTCCCCGCTGGTGGCAGGTTCGTGGCTGGGGAACCTGTGTAGAGGACCCACTTGATCCTCAGCCCCTTCATCTACAAACAGACACACAGGAAGAAACTGCAGGGAAAACTGGACAAGACAGACACAAGATCAGACAGACGAGACAAACATTTGCACAAGGACATGGGGTCACGGAAGCAGCACAGCAGGATGGAGAGTGTTGAGTGAGACCAAGCTGGTGGAGGATGGGAGACAGTGAAGTTTCATGCTTCAGGAGCCGCTGAATTTAAACTCTCCCTTTAGGAATCTTGTCATTGATCTAAATGAACCAAATGCTCTGACACTCCCACTGCATAATAGAAATTATCTT